ATTTATATCCTACTTTCATCAAAGATGCATTACTCGTTTGATAAATTGTTTACAAACAATTTAAATTTAGTAACGACTTGTTTTATTACACTTTGAGTCGTTTTCTATCAATAWAATATGAGAATTGAAATAAAAAAACTGAGAAAATGTACAATTTTTCCGGAAATAGCATCACCGTTAATGCACCCGAGACGCCACAATCAATATAAATGAGATCGCTGAAAAATCGCAACGAAGACATTTTCCCACTGTCATCACCCGTAAGAGTTCCATTATTGACACACGAAGAAAAATGACGTTATAGTCTGAAGGTTTCAAGGGAGAACAGGAGCGACGTGATCTCATAAATTCCCTTACACACACCACTCCGTGAATTTTTCATCCGATTTGTAATGAAAACAGAAACACAACAAACACCCAACTCACTTGGATAGCGGTTGCTCGAGCCAAGTCGATGGTTTTTCGCCAATTGTGCATCCTGAAGAGAGGTTGCTTCGTGATTGAAAGGACACAAGTTATGATATCATAGAGGTGTGCTCGAGGGAGTTGTGCTTTGTAGGAAATGAATGTGCGTGAGTTGGACGGCTTTTTTCACACAATTTAATTGTCCTGTAGGACTCTTTACGGGTGACTAATTTGATTGCATTGGCCCAATTTGTAATTTTGGTAATTGTTGGGGTGTTGTTTTGTGGAATTGGGGCAAATGATGCTATCGCAAAAGATGTAATTATCCTTTTTTGTGGTAACTTCAAAAGTATGCATGAATTACTGAAATTTTCTAATTTTTTTAACTTTTGTATTTTTGGTAGAAGAGCTCAGAGACCACAAAAATTGTTAAAAGCACTCAAAATTATTTTGAAGAGAAGTATTTTCTAACAATTTTAAATGCTTTCAAAGGAAGTACTTTTTACAATTCTTTAATCATCATTTATTTTTCAAACTTTGTATAACTTATATTGAATGCGGCGTCATACATACTCGTAGTATTCTTGACAAAACTGTAAATGTATCACAATATCTTATAATAATTGTGTTAAATAAAAAAAGAACATGATTGCTCAATTGCACAGTAGTTAGTACAAAAACCATATTTTATCTTATTTGTACTATAAAACTTAATTTAAAAAACACGACTTCCTAGCCGAGATCTACATAATCTTTCCTCTGACCCAAAAAATTGAGAATATAAATAGTATATTATATCACAAGGTAGACAAGAGATTTTTTATAGCCGAGCTGTATAAATGCTGTATAAAAATCTTCTCTACCGTGTTTTATATAAAAATTTTTCACTATTAGCACATTTATTACCCAGAAGCACAATGATGAAATATATACCCCTACTTAATGGACATGTTGTCACACACGTAACATGTCGTAATTCACAACTACTATTTTTGTTAATTTACTATTGCTTATTATTCCAACCTAAGTTAATAACTCAGGTAAGTAATTAATTACTGTCATTTTTGTACTTCTGCAACTATTAAAGGAATTTTATAGCTTCATAATATAAAAAAATTGTTAAAAAAAAGTGTTAAAATTTGCCTCACTACCTCACTATTTTTACAATAAATAAACCCATTTGTTGTTTTGACAGTTTTGACATAGAAGTATTAGAGTTGAGGTTATTCTGATGTTTTTAATGAGGAAATTTAAGTCTTTTTTATTTCATTTTGCATTAAATTCATCTCGAAAATTTGCCGTTAGTACTTGTGATAGTAATAGTTTTCAATAATAATATTTGTATCAATGTAATACCCTCCAACATCGACATTTACCCACCTCTTATACATTATAGCCCTTGGTCCATAATAAAAATTATTATTGACTACTTGCAGAGAAAAACAACTTCACAATCTCTCGATAAACTAAATAACGGTATATTTTAAAGCTAGTAGCGAAAAAAAAAAATTCATGTTCAAAAGTTAGAATTTTTACGTTAATGTAGTTTCTAAAGTTCAGATTTTATTGAAAATTTGTGTCCAAAAAAAGTAAAAATAGTAAATAAAAATACGAGTTGCAAAAAACATTCATTCAAGCAAGAGTCTGAAATTCCAATATGAACCAAGTAGCGGCGAGTTGAAAAACACAAAATTGCCTGAATGCAAATACATTACTATTTTCTCTATTTTGCACTTTTTTAAGACGTTTAAAAAAATAATTTAGGGAATTTTGAGTCAGTTGCTGACATATATTAGTATCATTCATAAAAGCACTAGAAAATTCAACTCAAACTCACATTTGTCATTGTCTATAATAGAGAAATGAATTCTCAACATTTTTTTCATGTTCGCCACCAAAAATTCGGAAAATTGGTAAGTTTATTGCAAGCAGTTTACTGCATTGTGACCAACATTAAAAAAATGAAGTACCTTAGAAAAGTAACGCACTGTGAAAAGCGGTACGACTTTGATTTTTATATACAGGGTGTTCGGTCCAAGTCGCCCCGGCTGATAACACCTAAACTTACTTCTTTTTTTCAAAAAGTAAATATTTAAGTAATAATATTCATTCTTGGCTTTCTTAATAAATGTATCAATTTTTTTTAGCACAAATGCTACCAAATTTAGTTTTTCAAATAGACCACTTATGTTTTTTTTCCTCGAAACAATAATAATTGGCATGAAAAATACGGTAAATCACTATTTATTACATTTTGCGTAACACAATGCAATCAGAAAACATCTTAAATCTTAGAATTTTACAAGGAAATTGGTCGCGTAGCCTGATTTTTAATTTTAAAAGAAAGGTATGAATAAAAAAAATGCTTGGATACAGTTTAATTATTGGTTTGACAAATCTAATTTGTCGGTTGATGAGCGAGTTCTCTTATGAAAACTCTTGGATTTTCTTCAACTGATAACAGAACATTCAGATTATTATTTTCTTGTTCTTCACTAAGAACCACAAGTTTTTTAGTTTTAAGAAGCGAACCTGTTTGTCTCAGTTATTTTTCAATTCGACTAAATATCCAACGATTTGGGTGAACTCTAATTGGGTATTTTTCTCTATACTGTCTTTCAGCTTCCGCTCTATTTTTAATTGCACTTTAAAAATTCTTCAAGCTGATCTACCAATTCGTCGTAATTATTATCATCCATTATTAAAAATCTCAGCAAGATTTATTGACAAAATAGGCTTCGTCAAAATAACAAGTGAACGATATCCAAGAATATTGCTTTTTGCATGAATACCTTGACAAGTAAAATCCGCCTACGTTGCAAAATTTGCTAATAAAATTCTAAAATTTAAAATGTTTTTTGAGTGCATTATGTAAAGTAAAATGTAATAAATAGCTGCTTACCGTATTTTTCATTCCAATTATTATTGTTTCGAGGAAAATAACATAGGTGTTCCATTTGAAAAATTAAATTTGGTAGCATATCCGGCCACACCGGATGTGCCAAAAAAATTTTATGCATTTACTAAGAAAGCCAGGAATGAATAGTATTATTTGAAAATTTAGTTTTTGAAAAAAAAGTAAGTTTAGGTGTTATTGGCTGGGGCGACTTGGACCGAACACCCTGTATGTTAATGTTGACAGCTTTTACTAATCATTTACAAAATTTTATTAAGGTATTTAAACATACAACTGACAAAAAAATCGTAAAGTTTCTTTGTTTCGAACACTTCATCGAGTTGAGAACCATAATACGTAAACAAATGGCACATGAAAACGCAAAAAATATCTATTCAAATTGCCCACTTCAGGAAAAATGTGACTTTTAATTAAAAATATACGTTTGATATCTACGTGAAAGGAAAGGAATTTTTGGTACACCTAAACGAGTTCATAGCGTTGTTAAAAAAAAAAAATTCAATTAAAAACAATAACTTTCATTAATAAGTTAGTAGGGTTTAATACACTGTATAATAGCAAAGTGATTAATTAGTTACTACTTAAACGTTTAATTAGAGCTTTATTAATTTTATAGTAATCAGTTAATTAAACGAAGGTCAAAGGAATCTCTACCAGTAGGTAATTTATTTTCACATTTACTATCTTGAATGAATATGTATCAAAATTTTAGTCAAGATATAGTTAAAAAAATATAGACATTAACTAATTAAAATTAAATAAATTGATGTCTAATTTTAGCTCCTTATTTACATCACTTTTTTTCACTGTAGTTGAAAGGTTTCTTTAGATATGTAGTCATAAAAATACAAAGTCAATACAGAATCAGAACAAGTATTGAGAATGTTCTCTTTTATTTTGCAAGTTGGAAATAAAAAACAAAAAAATATTACATTTTTAAAAGAATAGTACTTGTATACAGTATGACGAATATGTATTTTAATAAGAGATCTAGTTAGAATTACAGAACCAAAACATTCATTTAATGGGATAGCAGCTTCAGACAGAATTATTAAATTTATCAGGAAAAGCAGGAAGGCAAATTATCATCATGTGTGCTTCAGAGTAGAGAGAATTGCTTTAATAAAACCGAGTGCAAACCGGTTAAGTTAAGAAAAGTAAATGTTTTTTATATAAAATGAAAAAAAACAGTAACTTTGGCTGATGATTGAAAAGAAATGATCAATTCAGGACGAGTAATAATAATATCATGAAAAATTAATCTCGTTAACAATTTTTTTTTTATTAGTATATTATAAGAGACTGCTTTGTGACGACATTCTCAAATTTTTTGTAATTAATGAAACCCCCACAGTTGCAATAAAAATTTTATTTGTTTGTTAAATAAACAGATCAGTTCTTATTACCATTAATAGCAGTTTCCTTGAAAAGTGCTAGAATAAGTCCACACTCAACTACGTTTAGTTTATTAAGTAAGAAACAAAATATTCTTGAAGCTATCAAAGCTACCGTCATAGAAATTCTAATGCATTTCCATTATTTAATTAAACAGAAGAGTATTTTCTACAATAAAAAAATTCAAGCGCCACAAAAGCTTGAAAAATAAGCTTTTCATAGACCCAGAAACGTTTTCCCACTCAATAAAAACGTCGCTTAACACAATTTAAAAGCTCCTCACCCGCAATATCCGGAAAGGACTTTCCGTCATGAGACAGATCCCGCCGTTATCCTCCGGCGGTTTTCCGGCATTACTCAATCTGTGCATTTTGACGGAAGATGGCAGCATGTTTTGTAATTCACTCGGCGATCCGGAGACACTCTTGTGACCGGAAGAAGGGAGGATCGAACGAAGCGAAGACATCAACCAATTCTGCAAAATTAAATAACAATTTTTTAATTAATCAAACTGCAACAAAAGAGTAGAAAACAACTGTTGCATAAACAAGCGACACAATCCTGATAAAACCATGATAACAATGATTTTATGGTAAACAAATTTACAAAAAATAACCAGATTTCTTAAAAAAATAATAAAACACGCTGTTATGTCAACTGTAAAAACCGAGACTGAAAAATGCTGCAAAAATTTATTTAAAAAAAATAGAAAAACATTCAAACAAACGAGATAATAAAAAAGCATAAAAAATCAACTTCTGAATTTATTATCAGAAAAATCTTCATAGTCCGAGAGCAATGTTAAATAATGCAGCATTGACATGGATGAATAATGCATTTGGGTCTATGTCGTCCGAGAAAATCCTTAATGAAATCCAATTAACGCGTCGAAAAAACAGTGAATTTCCTCATTAAAAATCACGTTCTAAATTTAAACCCTCGTAAAATTTAATCGGAAAATTTTATCTCGAGGGTTCCATATCGTACACCATATGGCCCCCTGACACCAAACATCCATTGTTCCGCTAATTAGCGCTTATCAAAATTCGATTGATTACTCACGAGCGTGTCTCGGCGAGTCCGGTCCTGCGGCGACGTTTCGGACTTTACTTCATCAGGATAGATGGTGATTTTTTCAGGCACTTCGACCGATGGGAGAACTGTGATGATGGGCGTCGATGGACTAAGTCTTTGGGGCTCTTCGGTGTCGATTCGCCACGATCTAGCAGTCTGAAGGAGTTGCATTAGGTTTGGCATTGCGGGACGCCCCACTTGGGGCACACCTAGAGGGCCTGAAAAAGGAGTTTGATTGCTGATTTTGACCGATATGTGAATGTGAGTCATTATTGTCACTTTGGTAATTGAATGAAAAAATTATATTGGACATTGCATGAGGGATGATGAAAGAAGGAATCGATATTGCTCGCTAATTAATTCTCTGTTTATTTAGTCATATGCTAAAATTGCCACAGATAATTTAAGTGCTTTCTACGTTTGTTTTGAATCAAACAAACAGCGATTAAAATTAAGAATAAAATTTAATTTACCAAAGAATGTATACAAACTGGACCAAAAACGTTCTAATTTCATAATTCTTAATCGCTCTCACAAAATATAAACACTTAAAAATAGCGGAAAAATTAAGGCGGGCAAATGTTAAAAACAAAAAAAAAAATATTTGAATCAATTTTAATTTGTTTTTTATAATTTAAAGACAAAAATGCAAAAACCCCAATAGCCTTTATTTTTTTTTTGAATATCGTCTGTAAAGTAAGTCAAAATTATTTGCTCTTTAATAAAAGATTCTTTTATGTACAAAAAAATTTGTAGATAGAAGTCCTACACATATTTTTTCACAAGAAAAGTAATCAATTTAAGTCTCAATATAAAAAAATGCAATTAATATAAGCTTAAATTAAAATTAACGAAATATTGTGAAAGAATTGGATATATTTTGACAAAGTAAAAAGTATGTCAGAAAAAAAAGTCCAATTAAAAAGAAAAATAAAAAAGCAATCTGAATTATTTAAAATAAAGTTGACTTCAACCTCGTAATGATTCCAGGTTTTAATTAACTACTGCCATTAATGCACCATATGCATGCAGAATTTTTACAACGTTGTAAATTTAATGAGTAAAATGTGTTCATTCATTTTATATTATCTTTCATCAACATTTAATTTCCGGGAAGTTCACACTATTCCCTGCACGGAAACCGGATAATCCTAGTAAAAGTTCACTTAACTTTACTTTACATTTTTAATAGACAAGTTAGAGTAACATACAAAAACATAAATTGTAAAAAATCGAAATTAGATGTGCCTTATAAAAAAATCTGAAAAATTAAAAAAGCAATGAGTATTGTTATTTTTAAAATTATCTTCCCGATTTTTTTTAATTTTTTTAAAATTCAAATTTATATACATAATATGTAATACAATTTTTAAAATTATTCTTCTGGCACTAAATTAAACTAATTTTGTATTAAAGACAATTGTCAATTTTGCACAACTAGAAGATTTAACAAATTAAAATAATAAATATTAATACCCGGCGCCTCCACCACGATTGTGTCGTAAAGAGAATTTTATTTAAAAAACTTATAATTTAAAATAAATTTGAGCAATTTTTTTATTTCATGAGCTTTTAAATTTATTGATTGACTACACTGACATAAACAATACTTTTTTTTTTGAAAATAAGCCCAAAAATAATGTAACTGACACTACAAATACAGGCTAGAATATAAAAAACACCTCAAGCTATAATTTCATTAATTTTATAGCTATATTAGACAACTGTTTTTTTATACAGTTTAAAAATCGAGTTTGTAGTTTAAATTCGAGCCACCATTATAAGGGAGCCAGAATATAATGGACAGAAATTTTTAAATTGTCTTTAAAACTTTTTCCAACACTAAAATTAAATAATAAATTTTACTAAATTCAAAAATTGTTGTAAAGAAATTTGTCAAAATTGCAAAATGCCAATATAAGAGTATTTTATTTAAATACTTATAAATACGTTATGATTGACAACGTTTTTTATAGAAGAGCGTATATTAACAGCAATTTAAAATGTAAGCTTGAATGCACCATAAAAACAGTTTCAAATATTAGTGTTGAAAAAAAAATATTGCAATATTTCTTTGATCAAAGTTGAACAGTTTCTAGTTATCAGTCGTTTGCTTGTCTTAAATAAAATAAATAAAAGTGTTCTACTTTTTCCAAAAAATACTTTAATTTAATTTTCAAACTGCCTAAAGGCAAAAGTTTGTGATAAATAATAGTTGAATTTTAATGCTTTGATATTTAGTCTTGAAATTTTTTATTTGGATTTGCTACAATTTCACTGTTCTTAGTACCTTATTATAATTTTTACACTTTATTATTAATTACTCTTCACAATGTTAGTATCTTAATAATCAATCAAAATTAAAAAATAATTCTAATACTAATTTGTTCGTATACTTTCAATTATTATTTAAATGACCTTGCGTACCTGCAACTTAAAGATTCTAACTTTAATTTTAACCTAACCTTAACCTTCAGCATATGCAGTAACATATTACGATTTTCAATTCCGCTCGTCACAGGTAAGATGTATGATTAATCTTTTTGCAATTGTAATGCAATAGCTTGTTTATTTTTTCTATGAAAATAGAGTAGACAAAATAGAGCAATAAAGATATAACCCAAGAAATACGATCACTGCAGTTTATTTAAAGATAATGACATTTAAATAATAGATACTTGAAGCTCAAATTTCGCAAAAAGAAAAATTTTATTGAGAAATAATAGAAAACACAAAAGCATCAAATGACATTACAATCGTCAATTCACTCGTTTAATTCAAATAAATTAAATAATTTCTATGATCTGGTTTTGTGTTGTCTGCTAAACATTATTTGTGAATATTAAGGTACATTTTTCTAGTTTTTAACCCTGTAAATTTATAGTGCATAATCAATTAAAGAAGAAAATGAAGTGACGCATTATTTTATGAGCTGTAGCTTATATAAAAGAGTCAACAAACAAGTTCTAGTAATTATTATAATTGCGACTTTTCCTCCTTTTCCGGGAAACAAAACAACAGATCTTCAAAGGATTCAATATTTCAAATGATATTCAAAAATAATATTTAKTGACCATGACCAATGTTGATCGATGAAAATATCCAAAATATTTTAGGCATTTTGAATTAAGCTCCAATTTYCGAATCGAACTTTTCCCTAATTATCCCCCATCGCGTTTGATTCAAGAAAATTCCCAAAACTTGGTAACACAACACTCACCTCTAATTGATATTAAATTTCCCAATCAATTAACAAAACAAATCCTCTAATGATCGAACTTACCAAAACTTGCCAAAAAGCCAACACTGCACCAAACTTTTCAGTCTGTAAGCACTCACGTGTGGCTCGGATTCATACTCGGGAAAAAATGAAACTTATCATCCTGATAATACGATCGAATAGATTGGACGCGCATTCGAGACACTGAATTATCCACAAATTGCCGATGACAAGATTGGATGTTGTGCTGTTTTTCAAGTGGGAGAAGGGGGAGGGGGGAGCTTTCAGGAGATGTGCTCGAGCTTTGGCTCGTTTCAGGCCTATGTAATGAATAATTATCCACGCGACAGATGATAAGCGAGTGTCACATATGATTAAAATTTTTGCATAAAATAAATAGATAAAAATCATGAAATATAATAGAGTATTATACAAGGTGTTCCGTCTAAACAACACATTAGAAGGTTTGCGAATACTAAGATTTGAGTCTTGCTCAATAAAAATATTTCCAAAATTGTAGCACTTCCAATTATACCAGAAGTGAAAATTGACTTTTTTTATTGCGTTTTTAGATTTTTTAAATTTTGATTTACTTATTTGAAAATTTTTGGTTTTGCATCTTGCTCTTCAAGAATTCAATAAAAAAATTCAATTGGACACTTTTGGTTATTATAAAATTGTATTTGAGCAATTGTAACAGAAAAGTTGGGTGTTTTCATTGGTGTATTAAAAATTAATAAAAAAGTTAACAAACCCTCAAAATTAAAAGTTACATTTAGAAAAGTACACATAACTTAATTTTTTCTAATGCCAGAATTTTAATAATTAAAAATAATAAAAATCAATTTTTGAAAAAAAAGTGCAAGTCAAAAAAAGTTAAAAATTTTGAAAACAGCTACTATATTTAGTTTAAGGAAAGCTAAAAAAAGGTGTTCCATCTAAACAGCACATTAGGAGGTTTGCGAATACTAAGATTTGARACTTGCTCAATAACAATATTTCCAAAATTGTAGCATTTCCGATTATGCCAGAAGTGAAAATTAACTTTTTTTATTGCGTTTTTGAATTTTTAAAATTTTAGTTTACTTTTTTGAAATTTGTGGATTTGCATCTTGCTCATCAAAAATTCAATAAAAAAAATTCAATTGTCCACTTTTGGTTATTATAACATTGTATTTGAGCAATTGTAACAGAAAAGTTGGATGTTTTCATTGGTGTATTGAAAATTAATACGAAAGTTGACAAACCCCCAAAATTAAAAGTTACATTTAGAAAAGTACACATAACTTAATTTTTTCTAATGCCAGAATTTTAATAATTAAAAATAATAGAAATCAATTAAAAAAAAAAGTACAAATCAAAAAAAGTCTAAAAATTTTGAAAACAGCTATACTTTAGTTTGAGAAAAGCTAAAAAAAGGTGTTCCGTCTAAACAGCACATTAGGAGGTTTGCGAATACTTAGATTTGAGTCTTGCTCAATAAAAATATTTCCAAAATTGTAGCATTTCCGATTATGCCAGAAGTGAAAATTAACTTTTTTTATTGCGTTTTTGAATTCTTAAGATTTTTGTTTACTTTTTTGAAAATTTTAGGATTTGCATCTTGCTCTTCAAAAATTCAATAAAAAAAATTCAATTGGCCACTTTTGGTTATTATAAAATTGTATTTGAGCAATTGTAACAGAAAAGTTGGGTGTTTTCATTGGTGTATTGAAAATTAATAAGAAAGTTAACAAACTTCCAAAATTAAAAGTTTCATTTAGAAAAGTACACATAACTTAATTTTTTCTAATGCCAGAGTTTTAATAATTAAAAATAATAAAAATCAATTTTTGAAAAAAAAAAGTGCAAGTCCAAAAAAGTTAAAAATTTTGAAAACAGCTATACTTTAGTTTAAGGAAAGCTAAAAAAAGGTGTTCCGTCTAAACAGCACATTAGAAGGTTTGCGAATACTAAGATTTGGGTCTTGCTCAATAACATATTTCCAAAATTTTAGCATTTCCCATTATGCCAGAAGTAAAAATTAACTTTTTTTATTGCATTTTTGGATTTTTAAAATTTTAATTTACTTTTTTGAAATTTGTGGATTTGCATCTTGCTTTTC